AAAAAAAAAAAAAAAAAAAGGGATGGTCTGATGTTAAAATATCGGCCCCACTGCCCCCGGCTCCCTCCAGGGAGTGGTTCAGGGTGGTACTTGGGTGTCCGTGCTGCTGGTGCAGAAGAATGGTGTTTCCAAAACTCAGTTCTTGTGGTTCACCATTTGAGAGGAGTTTAGCAAGACCTTGCACACTCTGTCATCCTTGATTGAAATTCACCCCGAGGGTGGGAAAAGTTTCCTATGTGTGTCCCTTGTGTTGGGTGACCCCAATGTGTTTGCTTCTGATTCATCCACTTTTTATCATACACGTGTACATTTTCTTCCATTTCCATGTGAATGGGAAATTTGGAAAATGCTGAAAACTAGAAAGAATCACTGGTTGCATCATATCAAAATAGCTAGTAGGTTGACATGTGGTTGACACCCTCTTACTCATTTTCTATGCAGAGGGCTTTTATGTTTGTTTCTTAAAAATATATTTATGATCACATTCCATGTGTTACACTTACGTCTCATTGTGGTATAAGCATTGTTTCCTTTTAGGGTAAATTTCTTACATTTTTCAAAGAGTAGCAAAATTTAAATCTTATTTCAGAACTTTTGGATTGTTTGCAGTTTAAAAGTTTATTTGCTGTCATCTCTCTAGATGGTGCTTTAATTAGCTTCAGTTCACTTATCAGATAAATGTGAGCTGTCATTGAGTTTCTCAACGTGAGAAGGACTTAGCCTCTTAATAGTTCAAAACTGTGTTTCTGGGATCTCACAGATTAGAAGGCATTTTAGATATCTGTCACAACTCTTATTTTTTAATGTGGTGGATTATGCTGGAGCTTGTATATCTTTGTATTAAAAAACCTTTTCATGTTCTGGATTATTTTCTCAAAACAGACTCCCAGAAGTGGAATTACCAAACTCAAACATTGTTTTTGATTCCTTTCCAGAAGGGTTAGAATGATTTGGATTTAATCGGCAGTGTATGAGAGTTCCCGTTTGCTTCATGTGTGCATGCATGGAGTGTTGTTTTAATGTACATAGACAGCTTCTGACATTTGATTATTAAGTGCTGGGCTCAATGCCTCCTTCCCTTTGGGGTAGTTGTGTTACACCTATTTTACAGACAAGGTAACCAAGGGTGAGCAAGGTTAAGGGACTCGTTTAAAGTCCCACGACCAGCTGTGGAGCTGTGACTTGACTGGGGTCTGGCTGCAGAACCTGTCCTCTTAGACATCCTGTCTGCATGTCTTTACTTAACCTCAGGGTTGATCTTTCTCTCTGATGGTTGTCACTGTGAGTTCAGGTAGATAACCCCAAAGTGGAGGAGTGAGGGAGAGAGTTCTTTTTGTCTGAAGTATAAGTTGTGATGTTAATCTATGATTGTTTTTGAATTGGGAATTCTAAGTAAAAATTTTTTAATGGAGTTAAAAATCACCTTTGTAGCATAAAGCAGCTTATGTTATGTGAAGGATATTTAATCAGTAATTAATGTGAAATTAACTATGTGCATCTTAGGAATTTTTGATGGTGGTTCTAAGAACTCATGTCTTCTCACCTTGGAGTAATTTTATGTCTGTCCCTGAACCTGGCAGCCGGGCTGGGATTCTGATGCTAAAGTTTGCTTTCTGTGCTTTTCAGGCCCACTATGTCATCCAGGCAAGAAGGTCTCGGAGTGTTACTAAGAAAAGAAAGCGTGAAGCATCTGTTCCACCCGCTTCTGTATCCCGTAGCCGGAGTTGCTCTCGAACTCCACGGGATGCTTCTGGTCTTCGGGATGTCAAGGTTAGTCTCTGTGACGTGTCATAAAATAACTTAATAGCCTTCACTGTTTACAGAAAGGTTCAGGGCAAACACCAACAGTTGTCATTTGGAGGAGTAGGGGCTCTGGGCAGGGATTAGCTGTGAGCTGTGTCCCCTAGTTTCTTGGCATCCTTTAGAGGTAAACTTGGGCCCAGGTACGATTTGATGCTTCTGGACTGTTGGGCTAGGTAGACCATTTCCTAATGCTTTCTATTTTTGATGGCAGACATAAGTGGTCTCATAAAAGCACCAGCAATCTGAGCTGCAGTCCCAGCTGCTAGGGAAGTGCTAGGAAGTGGCCTTTGCTATGCACAGGAGGCCTCAGTTCCAACGAGCCCATGTGAGAAACCAGCCCAGAGGGAACTACTGTGGTCAATCTTGCTTGTCTTCACATTATTGTGGCAGTTTTTTCCCCCAAAATTGATAGCTTAAGTCACTGTCATGTCATTTGTAGTTTCTATTGGCAAGGACGCTTTGGGGTATACACAGTCTCTTGCTGAAATGTCTTTTTATTTAACATAAAAGTTTTTAGTTTTAGCATTTTGAAAATTCAGACATAGGAGAAAGTCTGTATATAAAGTAGCCAGTAGCCTACTTTATGGATGCCTGGTGCCATCTCCATCTGGATTCTGGGTTTCATCCTGGCATTGCCACTGGTCAGTGAGGTGTGAGTGGCACGTTCTCATGGGCCAGAGTCTCAGCGTCTCAGTTTGTGTAAGAGTGAGTTGGAATAGATGTGCTCTCATCTTCTAAGTAGTCTTTCAGGGTGTAAACCTTGTTCTACGTAGGATTGTCATCCATGCTTCATAGACAGATAGAGTTGAGTTTCTGCAGACACCAAGGTGGCCTGCAGGGAAACAGCAAAACTTACCTGGTCTCTTCACAGATCAGAGCTGGGCCATTAGGACAGACTTACCTGGCGATGGAAGTACACAGTGGAAATTGGGTTTTCAGTAATTAACGTACCTTATGTTCTCTGCTTTAAAGATGGTGAAGAAAGCTAAGACCATGATGAAGAATGCACAGAAGAAGATGAATCGCTTGGGGAGGAAAGGAGAGGCAGACAGACACGTGTTTGACATGAAGCCTAAGCACCTACTCTCTGGGAAGAGGAAAGCTGGTAAAAAGGACAGGAGATAGTGTCTCTTGCAGGTGACATGGTTTGGCCTGTGTTGCTGTTAATTTCTTGGTTTGGTATGGTATAAAATAGGGGTCATGATCTGTAAACTGAAAAAAAAAGCCAATGAAAATAACTAAGTGTTTGCTGCTTTGCTGAAAACTGGTGAATGCTGTATAAGTGTGGGGAATTTTGACACTGCATAATGTCACAGATACGAGGGTACTTCAAAAACTTTATTGAAAAATGCAATTAAAAGATAATATGAATCTTTCCGTGCATGTTTTGAAGACCCCTCATATTTGTAACACGGAGTATCCATTACTCCAGATTTGTAGGATTGAAAGGGTTTATTGGTATGTCTGTGCTGTTGTTTTTTTTTTTTTTTTGTCTTTTTGTCTTTTTCTGTGTCCGGCAACGGATCGCAACCCTCAGTGTTGCCCCCGCACCGGGCTGGGGACCGGCAACGGGATTGCAACCCTCGGTGTTGCTCCCGCGCCTCGCTCAGCCAGTGAGCGGGAACTGGTCTGTATGTGGGATCCGAACCCTCGGGCGGGAGCGCCGCCGCGCTTCCCAAGCGGCGCACTTATCCAGTGCGCCACCAGGCCGGCCCCATGTGCTGTTTTTGATGGAGAAAAATCTTATTTACTTTAAGAGGAAACTTTGTTCCCTTTTTTGCAAGAGGGAACTTTGGTTCATCACATATGAACAGTCCTTTTTTGCGAGGAAAGCATCTCCATTTGTGGGTGTGGGCAGAAGGCTGCCAGCCTTGCTCTGTAGGCCTGGGAGGGAATAGGTTGTGAGCGTGTCAAAACTTATACTAGAATACTCTTAAATTATTTTCTAGTCTTTTGTACAATGTGTCATTGTAATCTGTCTTCAACTGTTTTATTCAAAATAAACCTCCAGAAGAAAGTAGTGTTGATTTATTTAGTTCCTTTTTGGTTTAGTTACAAATAACTATTGATTTGGCCTGTGAAAAGGGAAATTTTTATTATTATTTTTTAAAGCAAAAATACTTTTGGGAATGAAATACTGTCTAAGGCACTACCGCAGTTACCTGTGGACATCTCCTGCTTCTGTAGTCAGTTGAAAATTACACATTCAATAAAACAAAAATACCCCCACCTCCCACCCCCACCACAGAGGCATCTCCTGGGAGCTTGTTTTCAGTATTTTAAATGGAAAACATTGCGAGGTGCATGGAAACTGAAAACCCCCAAGCACAGTAAAATGTAACAAAAAAACATGCTAGAATATGAAAGGCTTAAAACATTGCTTCTTGACGACAAAACAGTACTGTGGTTACCACTCTGTATGTAGTTAAAAAACAGATGCTCCACTTAGCAAGTAGCCTTTGCTGCCACCTGGAGCACATTCAGAGACCACTTACGTGTGACAGTCTTTTATTGTTTCTGCACATAGATGGCATTCACGATGTTGTGTTCCATTTGGGGGACATAAAGTAAAATTTTCGTGTATGTAATGGTGGTCCCATAGATTATCATAGCTGTACCACATAGCCCAGGTGTGCAGTAGGCTGTGTACCATGTAGGTTTGTGTAAGTATACTCTGACGTTCGCTTGATGATGAGATCGCTTAAGGACACATTTCTCAGAACATATTCCTTTGCTAAGCAACATGTGACTAGATGTGCTGGAGAAGGTTATATTAAAAGATGCTCAGACCCATGTGATGTCAGGGAAGATGGTAGCATAGGAAGTACCAGGAATTTATCTGTTCACCCGGACAACAGTTGTACCGGTAGAATCTGTCTGTTGTATCCATTTTGGAACTTGAATCTGTTCAAACACTTGCACCTTACAGGGAAAGGCTTGGCCAGTATCTTGCAGTTAATTTCAATCCTTAGCATGACAGCGCCTCTTGTCCCCCAGCTCCAGCCCTGTGCAGGTAGCTATGCTCCTAGTGCTGCTTGCAGGGAATGAGAGTGCGCACCAAGTACCCTGTCCTCCAAAATTTGGTATTCTGTGTTCTGATTGCCAATTGCTGCTTCTCATGGTGGAGGTGCAGACACAGAGATGGACAATTACTGTTAAAAACCCCATCAGCTGAACAGGCTTAAGGGAATTTAAAGGGCCAATGCCTGTTTTTATGCTTTCCCCCTGCATTTTTCTTTTTTCCCCATTTGGGGGCCAGACATTTAAGGATTAGAATTTTCAAAATCTAAGGATAGGGACTTTCAAAAGGAACTGGATGTTTCCGGGAAGGACACATACTCAGAAAAGTCCCTAGAAGACCTTAACTTTATACCTGCAGCTGGTCTCTGGTACAGACACCCTAAAACAATAAAACAAAACCATCAAATCCTGGGGAAGGAGGAGAATATGATTTCCAGAGTCATCACAGAAAATTCAGTTGTCAAATTTTCAACTAAAAAGTCACAAGGCATACAAAGAAACGGGAAAGTATAATTCAAGGGGGAAAAAATTCTTGACAAACTGTCCCTAAGGAGGACAAGATACAGACTTACTAGATAAAGACTTTAAAACAGCATTCCTAAATATGCTCAAAATGCTAAAGCAGGACATGGCAAAAGTATGATCTTCGTCAAGGTGAGCTTCTCTATATCTTTTCCTAAAGATGACATATTTTGAGAGCACACGATGATTGAGTGGTCCCCTCCTCATGAGAAAGGCCCAAATTCCCCTCTAAATCTCTGTCAGGTAGGAAGAAATGAGAAAATCTTACAAAACAGACAAAACATATCAGTATTACCTTTCTCAATGTTTTTGTTCAGAGGGCAATTCCTGTTGGTGTCTGCACCAATAACGTCATTTTCATTACTGACAATCAGCATTTCATCTAAGTGCCATAATTGACATTCATCAACCCAGTCGAGATATACCTCAGACATAGGTACTGGCTGTGATCTGACCTGAAGTAGATGCACACATGTCATCTTTGTGTGGAAGACACAGTCATCTAGTTTTTGCTATTTGTTACCAAATGCCTGAGCACTTAGCCTGTATCTTCTTGTATAAGTGACAGAAACAGTATTGGAGCAGCACAGTCAGGTGTGGAAGGAATATGTGTTTCTGATTTAGCATCTTTCTATGGGAAATTCTGGAGATTTATATATTCCTCATGTTTCCCAGGGTTCCTTTGATGGATATTCAAACAACAAAGCCTCACAAAGAAAACAAATAATAGGAAAAGTGTGGGCAATGCTCATTGTACATGTTTGTGGGGAAACGGGAGGATGGGTTTGAATCTGATGTGGAGACATGCCACAGCATTTCAGGGACTCTGCATTCACCCACAGAAAGCTGCCTGCACCCTCCTCAGTGCCAAATGGATTCTCATTTGATGATTTTTTGAGGAAATATTTTCAGGAACATTTATTTTCACGCAAAATATTTTCATCCTTTTACACTTTTTAAAGACATGCGTTGGTGTCTGTCCCCTGTCACCACCCCCTGTTGTTTTCAGCAACCTGCTCCTCCTCTTAGCAAAGAGGTGCTTGAGTAGATGAGTAGGTGTGAGACAGAAGTACGGAGACAGCAGCTGCTGAATGTTTGCAGCATTTGATCCATGAAAGAGTTACCATGAGAGAGAGGGTGTGTCAGCCTCTCCTGGAGATTGGAGACTCCGGGTATTGGACATGGAACTGAATGCCCAAGTGGAACCAGATACTTTCATGCCTCAGCATGTGGTGAGACACCAGTCAGGATGACCTCAGGTTTTTGTGCTCTTCACAAGAAATCACACCCTGTTCTCTTTCTCTCTCTCTCTCTCCCCCCCTCCCCCTCGCTTGTTGAATGATCACTGGAGATTATTTTGACACAACTGCACTTTTTAAATTTAATTTTTAATTGATTTTTATTTTTAATTTTATTTATTGAATCAAAATTGTACATATTTGGGGGTTCAACATTGAGATATGTTGATCAAATCAATATTACTAGCATATATATTGTTACAAATCATACTTATTCTTTATGCCCATTGTCCAATCTCTCCCCATCCCCCTCTTCCTCCCTTTTCCCCCCTAATTACCCTAGATTTCTTCTCTCCTTTTGAAAGAATAATGGTTACTCTGTTGATTTGTTGCCTGGATGATCTGTCCAATGCTGAGTGGTGTGATCAGGTCCCCCAATATTATCATAGAGCAGATGCTGCTTCTGTCACTCTGAAATGGGCTTTGGGGAGAGAGACATCTTTTCTTTATCTCTGGTGGTGAATCGCCTTGTGTCAATGCACTCCAGTGGTTGGTGGGCCATCTGTGTGGTGGTTGTGATGTCTAGCCGCTTTTGCAGCAGCCATGTTTATTGTGGTGGCTGTGGTGGGCCAACCACATGGAGGTGATGTTTTTGGCATGCTTCTTGGTACTGGTGGTGTGCCTGGTTGTGGGATGTGTCTGGTCCCTGGCTCCAGACCTCAGGTCACTGGGCGGGGGCCGAGGAGCTGGCGCAGTGTGCCTGGTTGTGGGAGGGGGGTCTGGTCCCCTTCTCCATGCTTCAGGTCCCCAGGCAGGCCCTGAGACACTGGCATGGTGTCCCTGGTTGTGGGAGGGGGGTCCGGTCCCCGGCTCCAAGCCTCTGGTTCCCAGGCAGGCCCCAAGGTGCTGGTGGTGTGCTTGGGCTGGAACTAATTTTTTGTCTTTTGCTTATTTCTAAAATGGGGGAACTTCCTATTGGAGCCAGTGCTTGAGCTATGTGGTTGAGCTAAAAGTGCTGCTTTGCTGCTGTTTCCCTAGGGAAAGCTTTTTGTGCAGCTCAGGGTTTAATGGTTGACCTTATAGGTAGAGATCGACTGGATCTGGGTTGTGTAGAAACTCTGATCTGGGCCTGAGTTTTTTCATCAAACTATACCTCGTGTTATTCTGCATTCCTGACCAGTCTTCTCTGAGCAGTCCTGTGCTGACTTGGGGGTGGATTGGCTGTCCTTGCTGTGTCCCAGTGTTCTCCCAATGGGCCCGTCTCCCCCACTGCCTGTGCTCCAAACACATCGCATGGGATGGGCCCTGTGCCGTCCTTTGTGATGACTTACTGGCCTCTGAATGGCTCCCTTTTTCCAGTTGTTCTGGCTCCTCACTCCTGCGTGGGTCCACAGGAACCCTATTAGTGGTCTTACTGTCCTGGGGACTGCCAAGGCCCTCTTCTCCCCTGCTGCCTCCAAGCAACTCCATCCAAAGGGCACAGCTGTGGCTTCTGCTGGCTCCTGCTCCATGGGCTCTGCAGTTCCAGCATTAAAGTGGCTGTGGCCCAGGACGCTCAGAGCAGTTTTTTCTTTCTCTCATCGTGGTTTCTCCTGCCTTCATGAATTCTGTAGGTTTCTCCTCCTCTTCCGCTGATGTTACATTTTCATAGTTGTAAATTGGTTGATTTGTGGGAGAGAGTGATGCTGGGANTCCACCATCTTGACTGGAACCTGCACTTTTTTTAAAATTTATTTTTTTTAAACCTGGGGTAAATCGTGTTCTACTGTATACATTTTAGTGTGTGATTAAAGTGGCATTTTAAATAGACATGGAAAAGATGAATTATTAAAGAATTGATGAGATAGTATTAAGATTTTAAAAAGTGAAAGCATAAAAACACTAGAAAAAAATGTATGGATAAAGAGTCACTATATTTTATGAGGAAAAGCCTTTCTAGGCATGAAACCAACAGCAGAAACCCAGACACACAAAAATGATAGATTTGAATACATTAAAGTAATTCTGTAAGTCAGGAAAGCCGTGATCAAAGAAAAAGAAATCATAAAATGGAATGTTTTATCTTGATCCATATTACAGATAAAGACTGACTTACTATCCTTACGTCACCAAAGAGTTCTTATTTCACAATTGAAAACATGTAATTACAATAGAAAATTACATAGGAGCACCAATATACAATTAAAAAGCGGGAGAGACCTGTTGTGTGAAGACATCACCTTGGACTATCAGATATACTTGAGACTTACTTGAGTGGTTTCTATTGGTTTTTATGAATGATGTTGGTGTACATGGACCAGAGTTTCTCCACTTTTAATATGTGATTAACACCTGCCTTTTGTGACTGTTTTCCAACTATGTGTGGACTCCCTTTGGCTCCATTCCTAATACCAATTTTAGGGAATCCATTGTTCTCCCTGGGTGAGGAAGCCAGGATGGCTTGGCCTTCTTCCGTCCACCTGGAGGTGGACTCAGTTTTTCCCTTCAGCATCCTTCTACTCAGGAATTTTTCCATCTGGGCATCTCTTCTGAGTCCTGGCTCCTCTCTCAGCAAACATTTATCCTACCTTCCATCACCCTTTCGGCTTCTCCAGTGTATGCACCTAGAGGGATGAGGGACATGTCCCATTCTTTTTTTGTCCCTTTTCTGGGGTTCCAAAGGCAAAAACCTTAGTATTAAAAAGCATTTTGAAAATATAATTTTATTTAATATTTTCCCAACTTATCTTAAAGAAGGGATTGGGGAGGGTTCTCTTCTTTTCTACCTAAAAGCTGTACAAGCAGGGGCAATAAGCCAAGACTCCCAACTAACCTAAAGGGTTTACAAGACTTTTTACTTTTCTACTTTATTTATTTTGCAAGACTTGAAACTTTGACAGAGTTTAGCTTGAATCTTTATCTCAGTCTAGAGAAGCCTTCCTGAAATTATGTATGAGACAAAAACTAATTAAACAATTCTAAAGGGATTTTTTTCACATTGAAAATGATGACCTTGTAGTTATCAATTTTTATTTACTTTAAAATACTTTAAGTCTTCTCAGAATCATCACACCCGAGCGCAGCTTAGTTCTTGTGGTCGGCCAACTAGATTTTAATCAGCAGTCATAAATGAGAGCATGCAGTTTTCACAAACTTGCTGGGCCGCAGCCTCAGCTTTTTCCGTGCTCAGCCCGCCACCACTTCCTCATCAGGAAGTTGGCAGTCTGTCCTTTTGGCTCTGCAACTCAGGGGGTCATCATGAGAACACACAGTTCCCCACATACCCCTGAACATGATACTCACACCAAACATCATAGCCTGAAAGGTGGAGAGCAGGTGGCAGACCAGCCAGGGACCTCAGGCCCCAGGGAGTGGCATGGGGCTAGCTCCCTGGGAATTTTCTTCACCTCCCATAGCCCAGGCTTGGAGCTGGGGAAGCCACTTCCTGGAGAAGCCTAAGACTGCAGATAAGAACAGCCCTGTAAAGGCCTGCCCTGCAGCCCAGCACCAGAGAGGAAAACATGGTCCCCAGCCTCACCTACACAGGCGTCAGGCTCTTAAACCTGTGAGGCTATGGTGAGGTACCCCTGAGGACTAGTAGAGACCATGTGGGAAGTCGGGACAGCAGTGAAGAGGCTGTGGTGGTGCCAGGACCTCCACAGTGTCAAGCAATAGCAAGGCTGCACACCCATGGCCAGCAGGGGCCACGTGAGGGCCAGTGACCAGGCACTCCCACCGCGTCCATGCAGGAGGTATCTCAGCTGTGGCCCGAGGGCCAAGCCCCCCCTGGGGTAAAGAGAAGGGCCCCACCCCCACCCCCATTCTGTCTTTATAAATTAGAAAGCCGAAGTGATTCTTCTGGAGTGAAGTTGGTCCAACTTTGTTTCTGTGGGCTGAGTGATATTCCAGGCCTGACATCAGTGACTACATTTTGGACTGCTGACTAGACACTGAGTTGTTGATGAACTCAGAGACCCACAAAGGAACTATAAGAACCAAGTTCCTTCACAAACACCTGCACCTCCAACAATACACAATACTAGGAGACTGATCTAACTGTAGCATACTCTGCAGAGCCTTTCTTGCACACTGATGCAAACCCCTCGCTTTACTAATAATTAAACACTTTGTTTAACCAGTGAAATAATCTGACAATTTATGTAACCCAAATAAATTTCCTACAAATTTAAGTCCTCTTGCCCCTCTTGGGTGGAAAGTTCTCTTGACTGTTACCCAGGTTACAGTCTGCCTGTTCCTGAGTAAATGCATTATTTGTCCCTGCTGAATTTTCTTCCTTTTTAAAATTAAGCGGTTAATTAGCAGTATCCAATGAAGATATTTTATGCATCTCTGTTGGCATATCACACTATGGACCATCAGTGCTATCTTTACTACTGAAATTAGAGTCATTAGCATCTTTAAATCTCATCAGATGAGAAAGCCAATTCCAGAAACCCCAGAACCAATTTGGAAAACATATCTTAAAATTCTGTTCCTCTAGAACTACTCGTTACCAAAATCTGTATTTCGCTGGATTCACACAATATGTACTTTTTCTCTATGGCTTCTTTCACTCAGGTCTGCGAGACTGATATTGTGTGCAGCAAATCTGTTTTTACTGCTTGATAGCACTCCGTGCATAAAAACCAAGATCGACTTACTCCTAGTTGTTCTGCAGGGGCTTTCCAGGACTAGCAGGCTGGACACCCATGCCAGAGAACAAGCCCTGACCCCACACTGTGCTGAATGATTATAGGAAAGTGTGAGAATCCAGGCAACATTGAGCTTCTCAAAGTAACAGTGACTATGCCAATAATTTCCTGGCTCAAACTAATGCTAGTTGAGTCTGCAAACTGAGGACCAGTCTGCATGCCGAAATCCTGAAAAAGTCCTTGCAGACTGGTCCAGCTGAACCAGTTCAGTACTAAGTTGTCAAAATGGAAATCAAACAGGCCAGCCAGAAGACCCATCCGGTTTTCTGTCTGGTCAGGTACAATTACTTGCCTTTTGTAGGTGGCACCTAACATTTTTGATAGTAGCACAGAACCAGTTCAGTACTAAGTTGTCAAAATGGAAATCAAACAGGCCAGCCAGAAGACCCATCCAGTTTTCTGTCTGGTCAGGTACAATTACTTGCCTTTTGTAGGTGGCACCTAACATTTTTGATAGTAGCACCCATCGACACTCTCACCAGTTCGTCTGAGTGCAGCAATTACTTTATATCCTGTGAACACTGGATAATGCCAGTCCTTTAAATCCTGGTTTTAATTTGCATTTACTCAGTGATTAATGAGGTTAAGATCTTTTTAAAATATATTTAATACCCACTGAATTTCTTAAAAGTAGACTTTATTCTTTAGACTAGTTCAGATTCACAGCAAAATTCAGTAGTAGATGCAGAGATTTCCCACATACCCCACGACCCAACACATGCAAGCCTCCTCCATTATCAACATCCTCATCAGAGAGGTGCATTTGTTACAATGACACATCATTATCACCCAAGTCCATGGTTTACATCAGGGTTCACTCTTGGTGCTGGACATTCTGAGAGTTTGGACAAACACACAAGGACTTGTATCCACCACTGCAGTGTCATACAGAGCAGTCTCACTACCCTAAAATCCTCTGTGCTCCACCTGTTCAACGCTCCGTCCTTCTAAACCCCAGCAACCACTGATCTTTTTACTCTTTCCAGTTCTCCCTTTACTAGAACATCACATGGTTGGATCATACACACAGCCTTTAGACTGGATTCTTTCACTTAGTATGTACTTAACTTTCTTCCATGTCTTTTTGTGGCTTGATAAGCTCCTTGTTTTCTAGTGCTGAATATTCCATTGTCTGGTTCTACCAGTTTACCCATTCATTCATGTATATGAAGAAGGAATAGGAGAGAATTCTCTTTTGGAGATTAAAATTTGGGAGTCTAAAGCATGTAGATAAGTATACAGTATATGTGAAAACTGTGAAGTAGAAAGTTATCTGTCAGGGTGTCTAAATGCACGCAAACATACAAGTTCAGTCTAACATGCGTAAGAGTGAGAAGAACGTGCAGACTGAAAAATCACCCGGTGAGGAAGGTGAGTGAGGAAGAGTGTATCTGAAGTAATAAGTCACCCTAGAGAGGATTCCCAACCCTGGCAAGGGTCCAGCAGATGCGACTAACCCAACTGAGGGAATGAAACCATTCAGCAAACACCCCGAGGAGCAGGTGGAAGGATGACTCCCCCATGAGAACCACTGCAGCAGCAGGACCCAGGAGCCTGTAATGGGCCTCTGGGCTTCAGGGAGCCACTGGGACTTGACCTGTCATCTGTGCCTGACTCCATCTGCTGGGGCCAAGTAAGAAAAAAAGTTTGCTTTCCTTCCTTCCCTTCTCCCACAAATTTTCCTTTCTGCTCTCGTTCTCTGGATGATGTTGGTACAGGGACAGAATAAACAATCTTACAAAAGGCCACTGCTACTTTGTCCTTAAAGGAGTTGGCAATAGTTTGGTCTGAATCAAAATTATTTATTTTGGAGACTAAGAATTTTAAACAGTTTAAGAAAAACTAAGTTTCAATTAACTTTAAAGTTCAAAACCAACACATCTAAGTTCTTGCCTTTGGGGTCTGAAGCAGCTGTATTCCAGGAGAGGAATATTACTCTTTACAAAAGGCACAGGAGTTCTAAGGAGTTTATCAGGTCAAAAAGCATTCACACTTATATATATGTTCTGGAACAGCACTCTAGTAATGTAACAATAGTGATTATCTAACACTTGCTAAGTGCTTAAAAAGTGCCAGTAACAATCTAAGGCTCCAGTGTCCAATTTGGCAGCTATTAGTCACATATAGCTACGGAGTAACTAATTATGTGTGGCATTCAGCCTAAAATGTCCTAGACAATAAAACTGAAGAACTAGAAAAATATTATAAATGCATTTGAAATAAAAGAACAAAAATGTGCATTTGAAACTATTTGGTATTTATCGCCACTATAGGCAAATTAGCCTATTACTGTATTAAAATTTTAGCAAACTAGACAACAGTACTAAAATGTAATTTTCATTGTTTTTACTTTTCAATAAAATACTTGCTAAATAGTCTTACCTAAAATTATAAATTAATTGCTCAGGGTTAACAAGAAATGAATTATTCTGCTGACTTTATAAAACATTTAGCTTTGTAAGAAACACATTTTTCTCTTCATTATTACATAGTACTTAAGAATAATAGTCTTAAGATTTCAGAGTTGAGAAATCTATGGCAAGTTTTATCAAAGTGCACGAATCGAGGTACAATTTTAAATATTAATATACACATATTCCGTAACCTGAACCTATGTAACATGAACATTAGCCTTTCTCACTGTTATTTTTTCCCTATAACATGGCCTTAGTACAACAGTGGTTCTCAACCTGGGGTGACTGCTCCCAGAGGACACCTGGGAATAACTGGTGTAATTTTGCTTGTCATGGGAGAAGGTGTGCTAATGGCATTCAGTGTATGGAGCCCAGAGATGCTGCTAATCACCTGACAATTCATAGGCTGGACCCTCCCCACAAAAAAGAAGTATCCAGCCCAAATGTTAACAGTGCCAAGGTTAAGAAAACCCTGTTGTAGACCAGTACTCAATTCCCACTTTATGAACAGCCTTTCTGCCCACTATAATTCTGAAAACACAGCCTTTACTAATTGGAAAATACTATTTCAAAGAAGGGTTATCCTAACCAATATCATCAAAAGCAATGCCTGACTTTAAGTATCAAAATGATACTTTCAGAATGATTAAACTAGAAAATCAACTTAGAATGATAAAAATTAGGATATATAGTTTAATCTGTTAATACAGAAAGTTGATTAGAACTGTTTTGAAGTAGCGGAGCAAAAAGTTTCCTTTGCACACTGTTCTGGACTGTGATAAAAATTTAATGATATATAGAGCACTCAGCAAATAGCAGAGTGCTCTACGAGTGTTGTGAAAAGGTTTATCACAACATATCAAAAATGAAGAGCTTCGCTTGTTCAAATTTGTCATAACCACGTGTTTGGATGGATTAAATTAAGTTTCATTTGTTCTCTCTCCCATTTTACAATAATCTCTCACAAATGTCTTTTACAAAAGGCAGGGCATGTATATGGGGTGTGTGATACAAAATTCTAAGTTAGTTGTTTTTTCACACAAGTTATAAAGTATCAATGTATCACATGAAAGTTCTCCTAAAAGGGAACCAAATTTAAAACAAAAAAATTATTTTAAGTTTACTAAATTGAGAAATTTTTCAGTAATCATTCAGCTCCACATTCACATTCTATGTATTTTCTCATGGTCAACAAACTGATTCAAATGATTTAAGTTATCCCACCATTTAAAGAGAAAAGACTCTGCAATAATTTGAAACCATGGAGTTAGCTTAATTTCACCACTGGCTCCTTTTTTCAGAAGTTCTTCTAGTTCTTCCTTTGACACATAACAATAGCTTTTGATCTCATTGGGATCTGGATTCAAAGTTACATTCTTCCTCACAAACAAAATATAATCGATTTCATGTTCACCCCAGACACCATCAGACTGAGCCTTGTAGTGAATTCGTGTTAGATAGTTAATTTCTTCTGGAGGAACCTAAGACATTGGAAAAAAAAAAAAAGTAATAATAATAAAAACATCAACCAAGACAGTAATCTAAAATTCTTATTTTTTAAAAAATCTCAAAACAATGGTTTACTAAGGGAGCTCTAAAATTAAGTCACCACATTACAGGAATACCTTGAACAATAGCAGTGGAGTTTTAGAATTAGAACTTTTTTTTTTTTAAGGGCTAGCCCATGGCTCACTTGGGAGAATGTGGTGTTGATAACACCAAGGCCAAGGGTTTGG